ACATAAAACATTTAGTAAAATATGAAACATTTACTTAGTGGTTTTTCATTCTTTATATTACAGAACTATATATTATGCTAGCTACACTGTTTTGCTAAATATGAAAGATAGGGAGCTGTAGTGAGTCTATATAACCGAGACAGAGACTAGAAGCCCTGTCTCAGCAGTTTTGACTACAATTACTCTTTGTCTGGTGTACAAGAATTTTTCACAGAATAAAATTCCATAGTATTCCAGACAGTGGCAATACGGTACAAAATCGGACTAAATACTATATCATCTCTGTAGAACCAGCTGACTGAAATGACTAGTAATAGGTTCCAATGAAACGGTCGACAGACAGAACAGTTTGTCCATACAATATCTAAATAATTGTCTTTGTACACAAATAATTACGAAAAATTTAAAGGGAATTGATTTATTTATCATTTCAACATGGTTCTTCGAGCCAGATTTATGTAAGAAATTGTTTTATTAATAATCAGGGTATTCAAAAATAATAATAACAAATCTCTAAGTGTACTTACGTTACGCAGTGCGATAATGTGAAAGTTGAATGTTTGTGAGTAGTGATATCTGTAACAACGGAGCTCTTATTTAATATTTGTTAATTAATAATTAAGTAGCATTTAAACTAATTTGGATCAGACGCGTTTGGTTGGTCAACATGGTTGTTTGGGTTCTCTCTGTTGAGGGAGACCTGAAAGGTCAGTCATCATAATGTCTCATGTATACATTAATTATTTGAAAAGAAAAAGTATTACCTTGTTTTGTACAGTTGTTATCTTTAACACCGCGGTCGGCGTGTCAGTTTTATTCTGAAACAAACAGAAAATCTTATGAATTATCAACAATTCAAATAATAACAATAAAGATTTATGTAATTCATAATCAGACGCGTTTGGTTGGTCAACATGGTTGATTGGGTTCTCTCTGTTGAGGGAGACCTGAAAGGTCATTCATCATAATGTCTCATGTATACATTAATTATTTGAAAAGAAAAAGTTTTACCTTGTTTTGTACAGTTGTTATCTTTAACACCGCGGTCGGCGTGTCAGTTTTATTCTAAAACAAACAGAAAATCCAATGAATTATCAACAATTCAAATAATAACAATAAAGATTTATGGAATTCATAGTCAGACGCGTTTGGTTGGTCAACATGGTTGATTGGGTTCTCTCTGTTGAGGGAGACCTGAAAGGTCAGTCATCATTTTAACTTACTATTTTTTAAGTTTAATTTGAACATATTTAATAAAAACAATGCAGAAATTAACAATATAAGACAAAAGATAATATAAGGTTTTAGTAGGAAATAAAATTTTGTCATATTTTTAAATAGCATTTAAAATTCCTACCTAGTTTATGAAGTTGTCTTCTATATCTTTATGTAACTTGTACTCATTGTATGTAGGCAATAGTAGGAGTTCCTGTAAAAAAAAAAGGTATTTTTAAGATATAATTCAATATTAATAAAACGCGTAATTATTGTGGTAGACATAATCAGACGCGTTTGGTTGGTCAACATGGTTGATTGGGTTCTCTCTGTTGAGGGAGACCTGAAAGGTCAGTCATCATTTTATAAGCTAAGCTTTTAATAATAATAATAAATCTTTATTTTAGGCACAATAATCCATATTAAAAATTACAATACAATTGCAATTTGTCCCATCCTATTTTAAATTTAAATAGTATCACAACACGTCAATTAACTGTCCTGACAATCTTTATTAACTTTAAACAATAATAATAAAAATAAATAAAATGAAATCATAACTGAATTTAAATAATAAACAATCAAAACTACAGTACATAGATTTTGGCCTAAAAACAGTTTGACCATAAATTATATGGAAAAGTTTGCTTGAACAGACTTAAGAGCATGCAGAATATAAAATTGACTCACCAGACTTTTCTCTTTCTGGAATCTGTAACAAATAAAAGATATTTAGGGGTTTATTTAGACAAAGTAAATTTCTTTTATTATGGACACTTTTTATCAATGGGGATAGTAAATGCAACAGCACTATATGTCAGATGTCCCTATCAAAAATCATCATATATTTTATACTAAACCAAACAAAATATAATAGATTTAAGTACGCAGTATTAGTGTGATATTTATGATAAAAAATAAGTGTCAAGTCTCACATTAGATAGATATAACATGTCATTGCTAGTGTTTTTTATTTTAAAAGATTTATTGCAATGGCCTGTTCATATTTTTAGTATTTACATTCATTACATTGAAACCAAGCTCTGCTTATACCGAAATGACAATGATGTCGATTCTGGCATGATTATCTAAACCTAAAACTAAATTTAATATCAGTTTCTTCTTTTCATTCTGTATAGAGAACGACAAGGATACACTGTTGTCGAATCTAAGTTTAGGTTTAGAGAATCATGTCAGAATCGACACCAGTATATAGATAGAAAAAACTAGTGTTATATTACTTAGAAAATGCTTACTTACTCATGTTTTATGGTTGGTCCTATTAAAGCAAAGACAGTTTCAACCTGCAAAAAGAAACGTATTGTTAAATAATTTAGCAGCAATAATCCTACATACATCATGTTGGGCTTGTAGTCAGTTGAGATAGTTTAAAAACAGCATTATGATTCAGATGTCCCTATCAAAAATCATCATTTGTAATTCATTGAAAATATAAAACCTTATATTTACTAATGTAAAAATATAAACTTACCCAATAATTAAGGCTTCCTGGAGAAAACATATCTGAAAATAAATATAAAGATTTTTTAGCTAAAGTTTCTGAAACATATTATACTGAAATTATAGAGTACTTAGTATCAGATAGGAGCGAAAGACATAATAAAGTTATTCATCACATATCAGATGAACTATGAAATCATCATATAGATAGTATTTTAGTAGAAGAAGAAGAATGAAGAGGATCTTCAGCAGAAAACTTACCACTATCTGCAAGGTGACTCTTATTGGCGAAATGTAATCTGAAACCAGGAAAGTCATATTTTAGCATAGAAAATGTGTAAATCTTTAATTAAAATACAGATATATCAGTATCAGATAGGAGCGAAAGACATGCGAGAATATACATCAAATAGATCAGATGAACTATGAAGTCATCATTTGGTATCCCTAAAGCTGTTTAGCTGAGCATATGGAAAATTTGGCATGTCTTCAATCACTTTTCAATTTACCATAATAATATAACGTTATCAAAAAACTGAGGCTGCGTTTTAATATACCTCATAAAAGCAGAGGCCAGCAGCAGTGAAAACAGATTAAACTCTTCTGTGCATTTAGTTGCCAGAGTTCAATTAAAATTCAGCTAGTGTTAAGAGGTTATCATATTGTTATACAAGTTAAGAGTACAAGTTGTTATATATGCAATTATGAGCCCCTAGCTTGTAACCTGGAGACAGGACCAAACCAATGCTCGGTATAGTATAATCAAACCAGATGCTATGCCAATCATCTAAGGGATATTTGCCGTTAAACATGTATTTTTAACAAAGACATGGAAAATTAATTACCTTCATTTACAATATCCTTTTCGACTCCAGTTTGCATAACCTGTAAATAAATAATATTCCAAATATTAGACATTTTTAAGAGTAAGTAACAAATGAAAAGTTTAGTAATGGATATCAGATAGCTCGTCAGCAATTAGCTGTGTGCATCAGAACCCACAATTAGTTGCCTATGCTAAAATTTTGAAAAAATTGGTCAAAAACACCAAACTAATGAAATTACAATAAAAAATTAATAATTTACCAGTTAAAGTTAATAAAATTACCAATGACATCCCTACTCTAGTAAATGCTAATTGTGGGACAACAGAAGGTTTTCAGCTGCACTGCGATATCATCATTTAAATGTAAGGTGTCAGTGGTGTCAATTCTGGCATGATTCTCTAAGCAGGCGCGGACCCAAGGGGGGGGGGGGGGTCACAGGGGACATGACCCCCCCAAAATCTAAGGTCAAATTGAAAAATCTTGTGTCAAAAAGTGTCTTGTGGAATGTTTATTTTATTCTAGATACCTATTTTTTATTAGTGTAGTGAGGGACCCCCTCCAAAAATTTCAGGTTGCGACCGCACCTGTTTCTAAGCCTAAAATCAAACTTGATACCAGTGTATCATTGTCTTTTTATCTACAGAATGAAAAAGAGGGAATGATGTAAATAAGTTGGTGTGACTGCAGGTTCAGGTCAATGAGGGAAATGTTAATCACATTGTGTTTTCCCGTCCTCTATTCCATAGATTCTTACTTTCTAAAGACTTATTATGCCTTCATATACCATTCCTGACACATATAACTTCCCTTTTTCATACTAATGATCTATCTGTGTATAAAAGTATATTTCCTTCTACTCAATAATATAAAACTTAAAAATATATATATTATTTTAACAATCCTGATCCTTTCCAAATTTCGTAGATTATCTGATTTCTTTTTTCCTATATCATTTCCTTAATTTTTTACTTAACATTGGCTGAACCCACCAACCGTGCTTGCCACAAAAAAAAGTATCAAGTTTAGAGAATCATTCTGGAATCTACACCATTAATATGTTGGTCTCGGTACAATAGGGATGATGACAAATTTTTTTTTCTTCGTTTATCAGGTAGATTATCAAAAAGTATTGGACAGGTATTTTTTCTTTTTTCACATAATATAAACATTGCAGAGATATATTGATTTGAAAAGTCGCATGACATAACGTTTTGTACACTTTTAAGTGAAAATTCACTCAAAAGTGACGTCGCGAGCCGCTACTCCCAAACTTTGACACACTATAACTTTGTCATTTTTTGGTTGATTGCCCAAAGAAAAAATATGTGTACATTATTTTTTGATAATCTAACTGACGGACTAAATAGAATTTCGTTTACTGTACCCCGTCTTCACCCCTATACTAATAATTCTGTTATACATAGGGCATTCATAATCTGCATAATTTAAATAAAGAATCATACCATCAGGTGAAAACAGGCACCATTTTGTTAATCGGGATTCATCTTCAACCTGCAAATATAAGTTTTCCGTTAATTTATCCCGTTGATCAGACATAATTTTACAAATTATACATTCTTTTAATCAGATAGAGCTAATATACATGCAGATCATTTTTATTCAATGGTTAGCACTTTTCATCATTTAGTGATGCATTTTCATTTCTCTAAAAAACATTTTGTAAACCACAGGGTTAACATACCATTGAAATTGGGCTTTTTATATTTCCCCTGAACAAAGACTCGGGGAACATCAATTCCTTCTTTGAAATTAACAGTACGACGCTGTACATATGTATTCATAAGAATTTCAAATCCAGCTTCTCCGAACAGCTTTGCCAATTCTTCTACTGTAAAGTAATAGCTTCTGAAATGTAACATTATTATTAATAGATGAAAATTAAAAAAACAAGTTTAAGTTGACCTCTCAATCTTCAATTTCACTGTGTAGATCGAGAGGTTAAGTTCATAATTTATAAATGAGTAACTGAGTTACTCCGTGATCATGGCGCTTGCAACAGTGCCGAAATATCGGAAACTCGCTAAAAACAAGATGCATGGTAACAATCCCGTAAATAACTTATATTACTATAATGTTAGTGACCATGAAAGTTTAAAAAATATATACCTAATTTATAAAAACTGAAAAATATGTACCTAGTTCCATCTTGACGCATGTAGAAATTGTCAGCAATTTTATGCCCTGGTTTAAATCGCAGTTGAGCCATATCGTAGCGTCCGTAGTCTCGGAATAATAGGACACCGCCAGGGAGAAGGGCTTTGAACGCTATTTCTGCCACCTTAGGCCATGAGTTGGGATGAATAGAAGAAAGCACAAAAATAAGGCTCGCGATGTTCACGCTGCCTTCGCTTATGTTGTCAAATATATCGTCAGTAGTCAAATCAGCGCAAAATGCTTTCATTCTATCTGTGTTATAAAGAGGGTTGGTTTTCACGAATTCTACAGCACGTGGGGAAAAATCACATGCGTAGAAATGGAAATTGGAAAATCCTTCTTGCACCAAAGGGAATACCATGTTTCCAACGCCACAACCGAGCTCTAAAAACACGACCTTTTGCTCCGGATCAAAATTGATAAGCTCCTGAAACTCACGTGTTGTCCAATGCCGGTCACGGAAGAATTTTGTTTCGTTACGTTTGTAAAAAATGTCCCAGTTACGTTTCGCTTCACGTTCTAATTTTGCAGCTTTTGCGTCAGGTATCAGCCTGGAGTTTTGACTTTCAAGACGTTGCTTTTCTTCATCCGTCAATTCCTTCAAGCGATGTCCAAATTCTTCGTTGCTGCGGATATCGTCAAAGTCATCGACTTCCATCGTGTAATTGAAAAACAGTTTAAGTTAATACTGTCTGAAGTATTCAAGCAATAAACGTCTTCTAATATTTCAAAGTCTGATTATTTAAAAAACATTCAAGAATTTTAATAATTCGAACAAAATTCATACGAACGCTTGACATTGCATTGACACGGCAGAAAATAGATGATTTTTTTTTTTTTTTTTTTCGTTTGTCCTTTCGGACAGGCTAAGGTCTGGGACCATACTGCCTCGTCATTAGTTATTTTTCTTCTTTTTATTATTAAAATTCAATATAACTTCCTCAGTATAATTTCCGGTATATTTTCTAGTTTTTTGTTTTACTCTATTATTATGTGCTTTTTTCCGAGCACATTGAACATCTTAAACACCAAACATTTAATTTTTTCTCTTACTAGACAGTCCAATCATGAATTAATTACATCCTATATGAATTTCATATTTATTTAATATCTTTTTTATAGTACACATTTACACAAAAAATAAATCATAGACCAATACCATGCAATACCTTAGGCCGTATACAGAAAGAAAGCCGAAAGCCGATCGGCGCCGATCAGCGCCGATCGGCGCTTATCGGCGCCTATCGGCGCTGATCCTTTTTCTATGGACCAGCGCCGATCGGCGCCGATCGGCGCCGATAAGCGTCGATAAGCGCCGATCGGCGCCGACTCGCGCTGGTCAGCTGCAATTTTAAATTAATAAACAACGACAACAGGTACGTCAATTACTACACGCAATTATTTTTTAAGTAGAAAAATGGATAATGACATTTTGATATCCTTAGTATTCACTAAACAACCTCTGTGGGACAAAACCGACAAAAGGCACTGTAATAGATACGTGGTTGACAAATGTTGGAAAGAAATAAGCGAGGCCATGAATGAAGACGGTGAGTAGGTATTAATTGATTTTGTTTTAGTTTGTCGACTTACATAAAGTTAGTGAACATTTAAATCGGTTAAGTATTACAACTTCTTTATTTAAATATTACCTATGTCTTAAGAGCCCTTCAACGATATTAAATACCCTAGATACAACCTCACGAACAAAATCGTGGCCGAAACCTGTCTAATAGGTACATTGGACGATCCACGGAACTAAGCACGGAGTAAATTGATCGCGTAGTGAAAAACAATATAAGGCATTATTTAATCATTGAAAGTCACCTTTAATGCATACTTTTTAAGGTCTTAATTAAAAAGTATGCGTCAGAGTTATGACAGTTCAAAATGCAAGCAAGGTAGAATTTTACGAATTTATTGCTATATGCGGAAGAATATACACCTTATTCATTTGATTTTACGCGCAGTTCTGAATGCGCTATTCGCAATGTAACAGATACGGACCGTGAGGAAAAGAGACAGCTATATTACCGACCATGCATTTCAATATCACAAATATTTTCTATTAAATCAGTTTATAGTAAGTATTAGAACAAAATTTGCTTCCAATGTGTTAAATTAACAAACGTTTATTAGATACCTGTCGAGAAAATGACACTTTAGTATTTATTTCGCATTTTTTCACGGAGCTCTGCGAAATCTCGACTGTCCAACGGTCCGCGCGGGGTTTAAACGCCGTGTTTCATGGTGTCGCCGACTCGAGAGGTCCCGGGTTCGAATCCCGGTGAGGACAGATGTTTATGTAATGAATATGAGCATATGTACTCCAGTCATGGATGTTTAATATTTATTTCTATATAAATATACTTATCGATGTAACACAAGCCTGATAGTGCTTACTTTGGGGCTAGGCTAATTGGTGTGAGTGTTGGAAATATTTATTTAGTATATCCAGCCGGTTTACGATAAATGCACTCGAAGAATTTGTGACGCGTGCGACATAAAATGTCATCATAGATACCTCGAAGGGCGTTGGCGCCGTACTGATCGGCGGATTGTCGAATTATAAATAATTTGTATTTGAATTATTATCCTTAATCAATTCTTTAACAAATAAATGATGGTATTCTCCGAAACGTTTCCTTTCTCTATTTATAGGATGTATACCTGTTTTTCGCATTTTTAAATAAACATTTCCTAACAAAACCAAATCATCGTCCGATGAGTCCGACATTTTGCTTGATCTGCTTTAATCGGCTTCCTTTATGTAGGAAGAATCGGCGCCGATAAGCGCCGATCGGCGCCGATCGGCGCCGATCGGCTTTCGGCTTTCTTTCTGTATACGGCCTTAATCCTAATACAAAACTTAAGAAAAGAAAAAACAAACTTAAAACAACGACATTTGATACGTTTCAAACTTGTTTCAAACCGACGACCTAAACGAAAAAGAATACCTACAAGCAAAATTACGAAAATAAACATTTTTTTTCAAACAAATAAAAGGAAAGAGAACATGCGGTACCTATTAAACTTAACTGAGCGTTTTGTGTATGCAGAACATTTAACCTTAAAATCTAATACACAACGATATTACAGAATATTTATATTTCTTCAACAGTGTTTGCAATGAAATTATACAGAGGAACGTATGTACAATTATTTACAAGAAGATCGGTCAAGGAACGCGGGACCAAATCATGTTTGCCATAAATTTGGATTAGCTCATCCAACAACACAAGGCGCTGAATGCCGAAGGATGGGCAGTCAAAGAAAATGTGAGCTAGGGTTTCTTCTTGGGAATTGCAATGAGTACATTGAGCATTATTCACCATTTGCAACCGAAAGAGATGGAAATTAAGCCGACAATGACCAAACCTTAAGCGAAAAATCGTCGTATAGAATTTTCTATTCAAAAAGCTATTTGATTTGCAGAACCATGGCAATTTGTTTACATCAACATAAAGAGGTGTGTACCATAGACCTTTACCTTTAACCTGTACTATACAATTCCAATGGGCTCGCCACTCTTGGTGCATTCTTTCCTTTAGCAGAACAATCAAATCTGTATAAGGTATAGACATCTTCTGAGTATTGGTTTCAGTAGCTAGAGTATTGATAGATTTTGCTAGATAATCTGCATTTTCATTACCTGTTACACCAATGTGAGACGGAACCCACATGAAACTTACAATTATATTATCAACATTGTATAGATCATACCAGACTTCTTTAATAGCATGAATAATGTAATTGGTGTTTGCACTTAATTTATTGTTTTCTAAGTTTTTGAGCACACTCATGCTATCACTAAGTATTAGCCATTTTTTATGTCCTTGATTTTGATGTTTTATGTGTTTCAGAGCAGCCAAAATTGCTAGAGCTTCTGCAGTGAATACAGAGGAATTTTTGTCTATCTTGTAACCTAAACCAGATTTTATAGAGCTAACGTAAAAAGAAAAAGATGCACTTGAATCATTTTTTGAGCCATCTGTATAAATATGTTTATGATCAACCCAATTTGATAGTTCACCAAACACCTCCTCTTTAGTAGAAAGCTCCTTGTAGATATTTATGTCAATTGATGGAAATTTGCTCTCAAAATGCCCTTCATAGCATGGTAAGATTGAAGGCTTATAAATGTTGGAATTTTCGAGAAACTGAGTGAACTGAGGAAATCCTTGCATGATATACAAAGGCCTACCTGCCAGTGATTGTGATAAATATGAAATATTTTTTAAAAGTTGATTATTGTTTATTGAGAATAGCTTCAAAAGGAATCTTTCCTTTAAGTAACTAAATCTTATTGAAATGGGAGAAAGATTACACTCAATTTGCATAACATTAATGGGAGTGCTTTTGAAAGCACCAGTTATCAAACGCATACTTTTATTTTGAATTTTGTCTAGGATATCTACAATTTTGTTGTCATGAGCAAAACAAAAAAAAGCATACTCAAAATGGCTGCGAATCAAAGACTTATACAGTAACAACAAGATCTTAGGATCAGCTCCCCAATATGTAGAAACTAAAGATTTTAATATGTTTAAAGCTTTGTTAGCCCTAGTTGTTATGTGTTCAATATATTTTTTCCAAGATAAGTTGTGAGTTATTAAAACACCCAAAAACTTTGTGTCTAATGAAACTGGAATAGCAACATTGTTATAGTAAACAGTAGGCATCAAAGATCTATTTTTCCCAAATACAAGCAGTTTTGATTTTAATGGGTTAATATCAAGATTTAAGTATGTAAAATATTGATTAAGATTAAATAAGGCACTATTAATTTTATTTACTAAATTTGTGATTTTATGATCGGAAGCATATACTACCAAGTCATCAGCAAACTGTAAATTTTTGACATGTCCACCCAGAATTAAGTTGAGACGTCGGATATATAATATAAAAACAAGAGGAGATAAAATTCCTCCCTGACAGACACCAACAGAAGCCAACCGTGGGCCATATAGGTAACCATTATTCTTAACAAAAACTTTTCTTTCAGACAAGAACTTTTGGACCCAATGAACAAGTTTTGGTGGTATACCCACTGAAGTTAACTCATTAGAAAGCACATCAACATTGACACTGTTAAAAGCTCCCGCAACATCAAAGAATACAGACACCATAGTTTGATTTTTTACTAGACAATTTTGGATGTCAAGTTGTAATTGGCAGATACTTTCACGAGATGAGCGACCTCTTCTAAATCCAAACTGATTCGAAGGTAAAATGCCATTTTTTTCCACATAGAACTCCAATCTTTGCTTTAGTAGTTGTTCAAAAATTTTTCCTACACATGAAGTTAGTGCAATAGGGCGATAAGAATCTTTATCCAATTTAGGCTTATTAGGCTTTAAAATAGGAACCAAGCAATCTATTTTCCAACAAGGTGGTATGTCATTGTTTTCCCAAAGATGATTTAAAACCTTCAAAAATATCTGCAAACTAGAATCACTAAGAGTTTTCAACATTTTATAAGGGATACCATCCAATCCAAATGCACTTTCTCTTCTGGAGGAGACTGCGTTTTTCAATTCTGTTATTGTAAATGGTTTTATTAAAAAGAGGTTGGTGGAATTTGATTGAGATCTATTGTAGGAACAGTCCTGATGAGTAGGTACATAATCAGGAGTATATTTCTTAAGAAAAGGTAAAACCCAGCTGTCACAGTCTGGATGACTTAAAATAAAAGATTTATTGAATTTACGCATATATTTCCAGATTACAGTAAGAGGGGTACAACGATTGAATGAACTACACAAATCAGCCCAGCTTTTTGATCTTTCAGTTTTAAGGGTGAGTTTTTTTAAAGCTTGCAAC